GCTGCTGGTCTTATGTGAATAAGCCTGCCAAGATGGAACTCATGCTGGTACTTAAGTCACTTCAGCCTTTCACATTCTGAATCCAACTGAATGATCCCACATAAATGTTGAATGAGATTGTTCCTCAGGTTGTTAAGACACTGCTGTGACCAAAGAGGATAGATTTATCATTGTGATGGTGAGGTAATAATAAATTCTTTTGTGTTCAGAATGTATCCAAGCTGTGTGACCAAAATACATAGCATTAGCTTCCCCTCCTGGCCAAAAGAAGGAAAGGATCTTGGAGGCAAGATACGCGTGAATTTTCTATCATTTTTGTTTCTGTATGCTAAAGATAGAAACTACTTATTGTATAGCAGAAAATAGCACTTAACTGCCAGTGAGGGGGAAGGACAGTGCTGGTGAGACACAGTTTATTGGAACCATTATATAATAAAGGAATGAGATAGGGTGACAGTTGTAAAAGAGTTCTTTTCTAAATGAGGGCCCAATTTGGAAACTAGACATTAAAAAATAAATGGTGCAGTTCCCAGTGTCCATGTTAGATTCCTGTCAGTTGATGCTAGAAACAAATAATTTCCTGCGTTTTTGTATTCTTTATGTCGGTATTTCCAATGTAGCTGAATCCATTACGGATGTTACTTTCGTTTTGGAATTTACCTTTTGCTTGCTTACTTGCTCTGTCTTAACATTTTAAAGGCTTTTCCTTATTTTTCATTCTGTGGCATAATATTTTGTAGCATTAGCACAAGTTTGGTAAATGCAGATATACTGACATGAGTGTGTTTATTTGATGGCATAGAGGAACCATGCATGCACAACACAAACTGACATTTTTTAAAAGCCATTTCTCAGCTAGATTGCCAGCCCTTGCAATGTTGTGTTACTACTGTTTTGGGTAGGATGATCTTATATCATTGAATCTTAGACAAAGTTGAAAGATTCTTCTCTATTCGCTGCAGTTGCCTGGAGAAGAGACATTTACAGTGCAAAGTTCAGTGATTTTAAGAAGACTGAAGCTTTGCACGTGTTGGAGAGGAAGCATACAAGGAACCAAAAGTAATTGCAAGATAAACGATAGCCTCATGTTTGAGATGTTTACCTGGACTGCAGGAAACAGCTTCCCTGTTTCTATTGGGAATTTGGCCTGAACTGCAAACACTTAAGTTTTCCTATATCTCTGACTGTGCCAGTTTCATACCAATCTAAGGAATTTTTTTTTTTTTTTTTGCATACTAGAGTGGGAGGAGAAGGCAGGTAGGATTTAATGCTTTGTAAGCATCTGCCTTTGGTACCAACTTTGTCGAGTCTGAAAGAACTTAAAAATTGCCGCCCATTAATGATTTCCATAGGCACAAAGTAGCTGGGAATGAGGATGCTTTGTAAAAGTCAAGCACCAGATTTTACTGTACATGCTGTATTTGAATATGCTCGCTATGATTTCATTGCTGTGCTGAAAATAATCAGGAGGCAATTAACAGTTACCAGCTGTTCAGTGATGCCCTGTGTGTGAAATATTTTGATATCATGACTCACTGGAGGCTGTGGAGAAGAAGATACTCCTTACACCAAGTGTTTTTTTAATAATAGAAAGAAAAAATGATGCTATTTTTTGGGCAATATTTTAATGGTGACTTAGCTTTCCTGACTTATAATTCTTAAGAATTAATCAGTCTTGGGCAACATAATTTAGTTTGCTTTTGCAAGCAAACATAACAAAACTACTTCTAGAAGATAAACATTTTTAAGATCTTTTACATTTCATATTACGTCAGGCAGTTCATTGTGAACAGTTGGAAAAACTTCTGTGTGACCAGTAGGAAATTGTCCTCTAGAGGGTGATGCCATGGCTTACTAATGTTCTGTCATAGCTCGGCTAATACCAAAAAGACAATGTTGAAGTCACTGCCATAAAATTCTGTGGAGAAATTTCAGCTTCTTTGCTGATAAAAATGCTTTACAAATATAAACCATATGATCTAAGATGAAGTCTGTCTCCTCTTTCTTCAGGTACTCTCTTGATAGGTTTCAGGCAAAGTTAAGAGCAAATTCTTTTTCTGCACATTGACTGGACAGCTTTAGCAGCTCTCACAATGTTACAGCTCCTTTCTAGTACAGTGAATCTGCTCAACCACTCCAGTCATTCCCTGTGTGTAGGTTGGCAGCTGAGAAAGCTGGGGCAAGGCTTTTGTCCCCAGACCTAGCCAAAGGGCAAACTTTTGCTTCTGTCTTGAACACAGTAAACATCTGCTTGTGTAACTGTTAATAAGCCTTTGGGTATTTGGAGATTATTTCTTTTGGGCTCTTTCCTTAACTGAGTCATGAACATATCCTGAGCCAAGGCTTCGGGTTTTGCACTGCAGTAGGTGAACTTTCTGATGCAAATAAGTTTCCTGCTGTATTTTTTTCAGATGTCCGATTTTCTTTAAAACTATGCAGAAGGATTTTTTAAGTCTGAGACTGTTCTTATTTAAGTCTTATGCTCTTAGCTGAAAACAAAGCTGTTAATCAGACGGTGCCTTGCTTAATGTTGCTCTGTGAAGCTCAGATTAGTTTAGTCTTCTCTGTGTACGGACTGAAATGAATTGAGGAGTGTCCTCTGAAATAAAGGACAAGCAGTCATTTGGTCACCACTGCAGTTTCATTTTGTACTGTAGTAGGGACTATAGTCATTCTGTAACTCACCTACACCTGACACATTGGCAGGATTTAACTTGCACCCAAGATTATGGCTTGTTGCTGTAGTCGGCAGTGGGAGATTGCAATGGAGACCCCGGTTGGTGCATTGGGATGCAATGTGTTTCGCTCACAGCTGTGAAAGGGGAAGAAGTGCTTTGCTGCTGTCTCTGGGAGCTGGGAGACAAGCGTACAGTGGTTGGGTAAGAAAGCTTGTTTGGATACTTAGTATGGATCTCTGTTATGTCAGCCAAAATGTTTAATGTGGTCTAAGTATGGTTTTATTGTCCTTGAACTGCTTATAATAGCAGTGAAACTACTAGTCTGGTTGTAACCATACTAGCCAAAACCATGCATTTGCAAGCAAGCAGGGTGAACTGAGAGGCAGAATGGATAAATGTTGGAGCACCCGAGTGACAGCAAAAAAGACTTGTAGCATAGTACTACTGCAAGTGCAGAATGGGCTGGCAGCATAGGAATTTCACTGAATTTGTTTTTCATTACGAGAAGATCATTTAGTAAGAAGGCACAGCAGAGAAGGGGAATGGTTGAGCTTTCTTAAATATCCCTCCTATCCTTGCAAGGGGAGAATGGCATGGGAACAAATGGAATAAAGCCTCATCTCTGAATAAACATCATTTCTAGTAAAATGAATATAATTATCTTGTAACCATAACCAGTACCAAGTGTAGCCTTGCTGAACCACTGAACATCCAGAGAGGGAGACCAATACAGCTAGTTCCTGCATACAGCTACAGTACGTCTTCCTATGTTCAGGCAAAAGCTGGTGGGTTTCAAGCTGATGCTGTTCATTTAATTATTTGTCTTGATTAAATTTCTTATCAGCGTTTTGCAATTATGTCATTGAGGATTTCACTTTTGTACTTGCCTTAGCAGCACATAGCTTATAGCTGTTTCCATGAATGTTATAAATGCTGACAATAATGTGCACAAAAATTGCTTCTGGACTTATTAAGAGATGAGCACAGCTATGGAAATCTGAGTTCTTCAATAGAAGGGAAGAAATAATCCAACTAAAACTGCAAGGGGAAGCTGATTAAATGAAATGTAAATATGCATGGTAGAATTAGGCAAAGATGCTAATGGCATATTACTGCTTGCGTTGCAACAAGCTACAGCGTACTCCTTTTTTTACTTTGGGACCCACTTGCATATTTTGTTCAAACATATATGTATCCCACACACCTCTACTCCATGGCACAATGCTTTTTAACAACTTGCAGCAGGACTGCTATCGTACTGGCTCAGAACTATGACACTAACTTTGTAAGTAACCAACCACCCATGTGGGCCAAGAGAGCTACTGGTGTTAGAGATCAGAAAGCACAAAACAGTGACACTAACCAAAAGGTATTGGAGTGGGTGTAATAAAAACCAAAAAGCAGCATGTCTGGTAGTGTACCTTAAGACACCATTTGGGAAACGAGAACGCTGTAATGGGACAGAGTGTAGATGGAGAAGACAGGAGCTATGGTCCAGCTTCTAAGGAAGTACTTTGTTTTATATGAAGTCAGGGAGGCAAGGAAAGTGCACAGTTGCAGTAGATCTGTGCAATCTCTCTTCCAATGGTCTGAGAGAACAAGTGAATGTAAATTGCAGTGCAATACGAAGCCTGTCTGCCATGTCGCATGTGGGGGGACTGTTTAAAATTGGAGTTGAGGAGAGGGGGATGGAAAACAGCTGACTTAACCACTGGTGAAGCTCCACCAGGAAATCATATTTGTTCAAGTGTCTCGAAATGATTCTTCCAGGATCAGTACAGTAGAATACATGCATGGTTTCTCATGGTCATAGCAGATAGGCAATGCCCCTGCTGTTGTGCATGGAGCACTACGTGTTCTGAACTGCCAACTGCACTGTTTAGTTCTGGTCCACAAGACGACTATACAGCGAGAACTTCTCACCCTCAGATCGCTGATTTCTGGATTATTTAAAATGCGGTCGTTGAGCTTAATAAATACAAGGAAGAAGTACAAATAAATAAACGGTCGCGGGCTTCAGCTTTTCTTCTCGGAGAACGGGTAGTGCTCGTGCAGAAATTACAGTCTGCCGTTTTGAAGACGTCGGGAATTGAATGCGATTTTGCGGTTCCCTCCCCCGTCAGCGGCTGCGGGGCTCTGACCGAGCGCCGTTGCTGCCTAACGGCCGCTCAAGCGCCATCCCCGTAACGGCCGAGCGCGAGAAGCGACGCGCGCGCCGCGCTCCCTCAGGGCAGCCCCTACCGGGCGCCGCTACGCTTCCCGGCGCCGGGGCGGGTTCTGCTCGGCAGTTCCGGCACGGTACGAAGGCGTCACTTCCCCGGGGTGGGACGGCCGCCGGTAGGTCCTGGGGGCGGTCGCCGGTGATGGGACGGCGGGTAGCGGCGCGTCCCCGCGGCGCTGGGGAGGCGCCCCGAGAGGCTGGCGCGCGGCGGTGGTCCCTCACCAACCGTCGGTCCCGGAGGCGGGAGCGGAACGGCGAGGCGCGGCGCGAGTGGGCGCCGTTCTGAGCCGCGGGAGCGCCGCCGAGAGGCAAGCGGTTGTGGGAGCCTCTGGGGCTCGGGCCGGTGCTGGCTGAGCTTGTTCGCTGTAGGCCCACAGCGTGTCGGCGCCCGCAGGTTGCTGCTCAATGTTCTCGTGTCGTGGCCGTGCTTCGTCTGGAAATAACGTGTCGTAGTTTGTAAAGCCCTGCGCTCGTCAAAGTAAAGCGTGTGCTGACTTGCCGTGTGCGAGGGTGGGTTTGCAGTGTTTGTTCCTAGGACCTTAGGGTGGTCTGTACGCTGTTGGAGGCTGTTGTACTTAAAAGAGCTTTTTAATTGTCTGATCATTCAGCAAGTAATGCCTTCATTTGTTACGTACAGTAATAAAGTGATGTGATGCTGCTGCTGATTCCGTAGCATCGTTTTTGTTCTGTTCTGTTTTTTGTTTGTTTGTTTGTTTTTGTTTTTTTCAATGGGGAGAGAGGATGATCTCTCTCTGCCATCTTTGTTGCTTAAGATGGCAGGCTGGGATGAAATAGCTGATGTGTGCCTGCCTGTGTGTTTTGTCTGAATCCTCACGATTCAGAACTTTGAGATCTTAGAAGGAAGTAAAAATGTTTTCCTCTCTCCTTAGGGTTTCTGCAGACAGAAGTGCAGTGGTATACCTCTGGTACTCCAAACAAAATGAAGATTCCTTCTGTACTGCTGAGATTCCCTCATCATTATTTCTCTAAAAGAACTTACTTCAAGAACTTAACTTGCATTTCCAGATCAGATTTCCTGTGCATTGAGTCTCTTACACCAGTGCACCTACATTGTTCAAAACAGATGTGTTTGTCGAAGTTTTCGAGCAGAGAGCTGTGTCACCAAAGTCCCCCTGAGCAGGAAGCAGAAGGGCTTTCCAACAGAGAAAAAGGGCTTATAGATAGACTTTACAATGGGCTTGTCCAGGGTCACAGAGCCTGTTTAGCTGAAGCCATTACACTTATAGAATCATCTCAGACTAGGAAAAAGAAAGTAGCCCAGGTGCTCCTTCAGAAGGTATTATCCTACCACAGGGAACAAGAAAAATTAAATCAAGGAAGGCCGCTTGCCTTTAGAGTGGGTTAGTCCTTTTATACCTGTTCAGTAGTTGCTTTGGCAGAACAACGGTGTTCACCTTTTATTATCACTATTGTAATTTAAACATTATCCTCTGTAATTTTGCATCTTTAGTTTCTTATGATTTCTGATAATTCTGATTGCTTCTGCTGCCAGTGAAGTTATGGCTTGGGCTGGAAAAATTCTTGAAAAAAAAAAGTAGAAGTAATTTGTGCTTCCTTAGTTGTTGTGGCATAGTTACTGTTGTGGGTTGTTCGGGTTTTGTATTTTCTAATTTTTTTGTTTTTTGGTGGTGGTGTTTGTTTTGATATGCATTATGAACTGAAATGCTATGTAGCTAGCAGATTGATATAGCTGTCATCTGAACTTAGGGAAGAATGTAACAGATCTGTTCTTATCCTGAAGTTGCTGTTTTCTTTGAGTACGTTCTCAACTCTTTCAAAAATCCGTAAGAGAAAAAATATGTATCTTTCTGCTTTATTACATTGCCTTCAAGCAGCAAGTTTTCATCTGAGGAGAGTCGAACCGGATTCTCTTAGAAACTCTAAAATGTTCTTACCTTGCGTAGAAAACTTGTCATACCAAGTTGCCATTTTTCCTGCGGACAAAAGCAGTAAAAATGAGAATTTGAGTGCGGGAAGCATGAGAAGTATTTAGTGCAAACGATCAAGCTGGTCTTATCTTACATGCTTTGAAATGCTGGCAAATTGCCCTGTAGCCCTTCAAAGTAAATCTGAAAAATAGAGTTTTAGATTATTACTTTTTTTTTTTTTTTAGGGACTATAAGCTGCTGTAGTTACATTTCTTAGAAAGGAGGGAGTAAGGCTGGATAAATACTTAATGGTATGGATAGCATGAGGGGTGGTGAAGTCAGCATTGCTGACCAAGGTGTTTTTGAAGCTAATTACAAGTGCTTAGTTGAGTGTATCAATTGTGGCACAGCCTTTTATTTATCTTTGTTGTGATATTGTGATACAACGTGAATTGTTTTCAAATTAGCATTGACAGTGCTTATGTGGTGCGTTATTTATTTCATTAACAAGGTGAGGCTTTTTTGTCTTCCTGTTTTCTTGGCGTGCTTATTTAGGATTATCTGGTCCTCCTGGTGCTGGGAAATCAACTTTCATTGAATGCTTTGGGAAAATGCTTACAGAAAGAGGACACAAAGTATCAGTGCTGGCTGTAGACCCCTCTTCTAGTACAAGTGGTGGTAAGTAGGTCGTAATGTTTCAGTCAGGTTTCTAATGTGTTTTGAAATGTATAAATATTTCTTTGGGGCAAATACAGGATTAGTTAGGGTGCCTATAAGATATTAAAAACTAACATTATGTCAATTTTTTCACTTTCCCCGCACGATATGAAATCAAAAATTAGGCATCATTGTCAGATTTATTCTTCTCCAGTGTTTGACCAGTGTTTGAATGCTCTTTCATATCTTTTTTTTTTTTTTTTTTTTCCCTGAAACTACAGTTAACTGCTGTTTTTTCTCTCTCAGGTTTTATTTATCTGCTTATTGTTGCGTGAATTAAACAGTAAAGTGACATAGATTTGTATTTATATTTCAAAAGTGATAGCGGTGATCACTAGGCAGCAAGCACATGCCAGTTTATAACTTTAATTTGGAGTATATTGCGATCCAGATGTGTATATCAGGTTAGAGTCATTCTCAACTTACTAGTTCTCAGTAAGAATTTGCAGATTTGAGATGACTGGCTCAGTGTCACAGTCACCTGCTGCGGTATTGTTGCAGTTTGTCAGACTTGCAGTGCAGATTGCAAGGTGGCTTCTTAAAATTTGGGATTCTTCAGGGTTGTGTGGCTGTTATCTGTCACTCTCAGAACAAAACTTCTGGGGACTTTGTTAGAAGATGCTGCACTGGAACTATTTAAACAGAAACAAATTTCAGTTTACACTGAATTGAAACTAGGGAGCGTTATGTTCTTGCGTGTGTACATTCAGGACACATCAGTAGAATGGCAATATGCCAGGATTATACCACGTATGTGAACTGAGCATCTCTTATCTTGTGGAACATGTGTTAAACAAGTAAAATCCAGCACAGCAACAAGTACCAGGGTCATAACGTGGGAATTTGTCTTTTTGGAAAGAAACGATGAAGGTGAATTTTGTGGCCTGCGGTGTGTAAGCTACAAAAAAAGCTGCTTAGAAATTTTGGAAGCCGCTCTGACCTAGAAGGAATTCTTCATATTTTGTAGGAGTGAGATCTGCTTGTCAGGCCTTTCCAGCTTCTGAAAACCAGAAGAGCCAGGCAGTGGCTTTTTCTTGCTCGTTTCGGGGGTGGCAGGGAACAGGGAAGGGAGATCTGAATGTTTTGTGCATTTAGTAGTAAAATAGTAAATTTTTAAGGTTCTTTACTGGGTGATAAAACACGGATGACTGAGTTGTCAAGAGACATGAATGCATACATCAGACCTTCTCCAACGAGAGGAACATTAGGAGGTGTAACAAGGACTACAAATGAAGCCATTCTGCTGTGCGAAGGAGGAGGCTACGATGTTGTTCTTGTGGAAACTGTAGGTAGGTGCTTAGGGTTTTCTTCCAGATATCCTGCTCTGATACCTAATATCTAATGTGTCTCTCACTTGAAACTTTGTCATCTTTCATCTTGAATTTTGCTCCTGCTGTTACACAAGGTCACTGGGTGAAAACGGACACCCGCTGTCAAGATGGTGCAAAACTGCTTTTTGCTATAAGTGTTGTCATTAATGCGACTGTGAAAGCTTGCCAGAATTGGTAAACTCTGGATTTAATTTTTCAGGTGTGGGACAGTCAGAATTTGCTGTGGCTGACATGGTTGATATGTTTATATTATTGCTGCCACCCGCGGGCGGTGATGAATTACAGGTATTTTTCACGTTCTCTTTTTAAGTACTACCTAAGCTTGGAAAGAGAAATTTAAGTCTAGGAATGTAGTCTATGCAGGAAATTCACTTCAGTAGCATTTTGTCAATTACGCTGCTGTTACTGGAGTCTTTTCAGTATCTTACCAATTTATCACATAGTTGGGGTCTGATTTTTTTTCCATATGTAGGAAGTGCTAGGTTGTAAGATTCTGATATTTACTGGCTATATATGATGTATTGGGAGTGTTTTTTTTTTTATTACAGGAAAACAATATAACTAGTTTTGCAAACTTGGTCTTGTTTTGGTTAAACTTAAGACTCTGTGCATAAAGTAGTCTCTCGTGCAAACTCGGATATCCATACGTAGCATCCCAGTGTCAAAATAATAACTGGTGCTGATAGAGGCCAGTGGTACAACTGTTGCATGACTGGCGTATCCAACCTCCCTTCAGCAGGAGCCACCAAAGCCAAGCTTTTCTGATCGGCTTTCCGTGATTAGCTCAGCGCGGCGCAGCTATTCTGGGAATTCATGATTTCTCTCTATACTCTGTTCAGGGTATCAAGCGGGGTATAATTGAGATGGCAGATCTAGTTGCTGTAAATAAAGCTGATGGTGATTTAATTGTGCCCGCACGGAGAATACAAGCTGAATATGTTAGTGCTATGAAGCTGCTTCGCAAGCGTTCAAAGGTTTGGAGACCAAAGGTGTGTATACTTTGCTATGGCGTTTTTGTTGAGGTGTTTTGTCTGGTTTTGTTTTCCTAGAAAGTGCTGAATGATTTACAGCTGTTACTGTCTCACCTAGCTGTATAAAGTCTCTCTAAGCTCTTCTATAAAAAGTTTAGTATGATTGCTTAGCTTATTTACCCTGTACGAGAGACTTGTTTGCTGCTGTTTCTATTTCACCTCTGATCTCAAGGCGTGCTGCATGAGGCACTGCACAGCCACAGTTCTGCCCACTGCGGTTTCTGTTGTGAGCTACAATCTGAGCGCTAACAGACCAATTTCTAACATGGGTTGTAGTTAGACTACCTTGTCTCGCTTTTGGCAAATTATGTGTATCTTAAAATGTTCTCTGAGCTTTTTTTTCCCTTCTTACAACTCTCGGACCTGTGATTATCTTTGTTCTTTGACTTGTTCATTTTTTTGCTTCTTTTTTAAATCACATAATAGAAGTTCTTATGAACAGGAACCTCATTTGATGGTGTGTACAATGTCTAAATTATTGGTTTTGTCATCCCAAGTGCTTTTCGTATCGATGCATTATCCTGTATATTAAAAGGTAACAGCAAATCATTAAGAAAAATACTAAAATACTAATATATAAGTACATGTGCACGCATTCTCACTCTGTATGTGAGTGTATAAAGGAGATTTGCTCTACGCTGCCTAAAACTGACCCCTTGAATTAATTTTACATCAGCTGAACTGCCTGAGGCTTAACCATTGTTTTGCCACGTTTGTTTCTAGATCTGATTAGAGTTGCTAGTCATTGCAATGAGAAATGCAGTGACTGAAGTTAGTGCAGAAGAGTTTCTAATGCTGAATTCTCTTTCAGATAAGATTTTTAACGCTGTAAATTATTGCAGGCGTAAACAGCTGTTTCCACCAAAATACTTGGATTCCTCTTGGTGCAGCATATTGTTGTGACGTAATCGTATACGTGGTACATGGTTCTTTGCTTTTCATCACTGTATTTTTAGTTCATCACCTTCTTATAAGCAGCTAGTATATCTGCATAGGTACCTGTTTGTTCAGCCTTATAAATGTGACCCGGAACACCTATTTTTATTTATTGAATTAACCAGTTTATCAGAAATCTGTCTCTATTTCAGTGATGGCATTGTTTGACTACTGGAAAAAAAAAAGGAAATATTGACATGCAGGGACTTAAGCCATCAGATTGGAGATTTTTTTCTTGGAAAAGATAAAAGCAGCTCAATTTAAAAGGTTCTGTTGGATGCCTAAAATACTGTGGCAGAATGAATTCCTAGGCTGGGAAGCACATGTAAGAAGAAGTTTAATGCCTCGTTCCCAGAATACTTGAAGTCAGAAGGGTAGCTATCAGAGTCTGGCTACCAGCATACATAATCAAGTTTACATTTATGTAAAATAGAAACGCTGTACATTTTTAGCTAAAGATCATATTTGAAATGATTCTCACTTGCTATACAAGCAGTTGGACAAGCCCTGTTTGTCCCAAATATTATGGATCTCACCATCTACTTATGGTTGGTACAATCCTGTCTTTGAGATAGTTTTAATTTTATTTTTCATTCTTCGTGGAGAGAAGTGTGAGCAGCACAAAACTGTTTTGAGTGGCACTGGGTGTAGGTGCATTGAAGCAAACTTGCCTTCCATGTTACCTGACTGTGGCAGTCTACCTGGTGCAGTAATTGAACCCGCAAGTCCAGTAATTACTTGGCTTTAAAAATTCTTCTGAATCCAACAGGTAATGCGTATCTCTGCCAAGACTGGAGAAGGGATCTCAGATATGTGGGATAAAATGACAGAATTTCGCGACCTCATGCTCACAAGCGGTGAGCTGATTGCCAAGCGACGGAAACAGCAGAAAGTGTGGATGTGGAATCTCATCCAAGAAAATATGTTGGAACATTTCCGGAGTCATTTGGCAGTCAAAGATAAGATTCCACTTCTAGAAGAAAAAGTTCTTAGTGGTGTCTTGTCTCCCGGGCTGGCAGCCGACCTGCTGCTGAAAGCATTCAAGGATGGTATCTAATCATTGTATTCTGCTGTGTTCTTGCTGCTGAAGGCATTCAAGGATGGTCTCTAATCATTATATTCTACTGTGTTCTTGCTGATTTCTTCATGTAAACGTAAATATTAAATTCAGTTTTTGTCTGTGTGAATTCAGATGTCTCACTACAGCAGACACTAATGGAATACATATTTATTGGTATTAGTATGTATTATTACTCTGCCAAAAAAATACTGAGCAAAAAATAGTGTAGGATTCTGTATATGCAAAGTTCAGTGCAAACACGCTCAGAGATTACTACACATGGTGTTTGGTCAACAGTAGTTAGTTTGAGTCTGTCATTATCATGGATTTGTTGGTCAAAAATGTGAGCCTGTGTCAAAATGTGATGTGGCTTTGAAAGGGTGAGTGAGAGGTTTGGTGCAGCAGTTTCATTGTGAGACTGTCTTAGAGGTGATAAACACTTCTACTTTCCATTCTGATTTACTTTTTTCTTCCTCTCAAGCCTCCGCAAGAACACTGGACCTCCTGGTAGCACCTGACTGGAGTCTTAGTTTTAAATACGTTGCATGCATATAAAAAGGGTTGTTCTATCGCTGTTGGGAAGTTTATTGTATGCTGGGAGAGGAGAATTGTACCTATCATAGATTCTAACTAGATGTTTTAATACGAAAGCACGGTTTAATTAGATGTTTTAAAATACAGGCATATGGAACCAGTGTCATCCAGCAGGTTTTTAATCGCAGCTCTTTTTATACTAGAATAATTGATCTCTGGTCTTATTTGACTGAAGTAAGCTTTCCGTATTCAAACAAAATGCCTACTTTTCTCCTCTCTTGTGGATGACGTGACTATTTAGGACTGAAGTACTTAAGAGCTGCGGTCTCTTTTTAATTTATTTTTTATTTTTTTAGATTTCTCTTGGGAATGCATCTGGAGGTATTCATGAACTGGAAAGCAGGGTTTTATCTCCTCGATATGAAGAGTAAAATAGGAAAAATAAGTAAAATAGTTGATTTCTTGAGGGCTGGAAAAAAAATTAAGTTAACATAAATTAATGAGTCTACTACTGCTTATATGAAGGAATGTAAAAGGTATTAAGTGCTGTACTATAGTATGTGAGATAGTGTTGTGGGTTTGTTTGTTTGTTTTTTAAATTTCAGTTCAGTATTACCTGTCCAGATTCCTAACAAGTGTGCATTTTGCGGAGCATCTGTGTTCTGGCAACCTGAGTCTGGATTTCTCTAACAATTCCAGGGTAGCAATGACTTGGTTTCCTTTGATTCTATTTCTTTTTTCCTTCCTGTGTTGTTGTTTTTTGTTTTCTTCTGGAGACTTTTTTTCTCTTCCCGTGTTCCAATTGTTATACTGTGTTCTCAGTTAAGTCTACTTTATCTTGCTAGACCTCTGCACTTCCAAGTTTTCACTCCTTCATAGGTGTAGTGCAACTATCAGAAAAGATTAATGAATGAAAATGCTGAGGATTTTTTCCCTTTGGTTTGTCTTATTAAGTATTTAAGTGCTTCTTTAAGCAGCATAAATTAAACAATATCTATTTGATATCTAAGAAATATCTATCAGGCTGCTAACATTTCAGTTACTTCTTCCATTGTATGAGGGTCTATGTTTTGTTGTCCATATATCTTACTCTGAGAATATGAAGCATGAGCAGAAAGTGAAATGAAGCTGCAATGTAAAGTACAAATACTTAGTAATTTTTAGCAAGGATCCCACTGAATATTTGTAGTGAAATATTAACAGAGAGCGCTGTGGGCTTTTTTAGGACATGAAGCCTAAGCATTTCTTTATCAAGACGTTTGGCACCAGTGTAGCTGATATTAGTGATTTCCACCACATGGATTATCAGCATCTCAATGTTCTAACACCACTTATTTCTTAAACTTTGCATCCCCGATGAGCGATTTGGGATTACTGCAGCCATTTACGTAGAGGTACCTAGAGAGGAGTGTTTAAGGGGTGGCAGAAGAACGTGGCCTTGATTGTTGCCTTTCTGCATTAGAAACTGTAAAAATGCTACTTTTTTTCACTTAAAAAAAAAAAAAAAATTAATTAAAAGCAGTTTAGGTCTCCATTGAATGTGACAAAAAGTACCCCAAACCGAAGGCCATGTCTTTCATCCTCTCAGTTTTAAAAATTAACAATATTCTGATGGTACCTAGCAGTGGAAAAGACGGATGGAAAATGAATGAATGACAGCAGCAGTATTTTAACTGGTAAGTTCTCGACTTTTTGATGGTCCATTTGTTTCAGGTGACAGTGTTTAAAATAACCTTGCTTGTACTTATCTGCTAGATCAACTCTTCTTGGTCGTTATTTTTTTTCTTCTGGTGTCAGAGACTGCTTTATTCTTTGTCTCCTCTGTGGGAACTGTCAGGAAAGTAAAATAGAACTTGTGGCTTTGTTTAACTGAGGGCTGCTGTAGAGTAGTTATTCAGATTTGTTTTCTGGACCCAGATCGATGTATCTACTCAAACGATGGGTCGTTATTTTCTTGTTTTGTTATTTCTCTTAAAGAGTAGTTAATTTGCTAATGAACACTAATGCGGTGGTTTAAGCAAATTCTACTTTTTATTCAGCTGCATTTTCCTCTTAAATCAGAAGAATTAGATTTGCCTTCTTGATGTGTTTGTGCCTCACGCTTCAGTAGACAGAGAAACGCTTGATGCTGACAAGGATCTGCAGAAATGGCGTGGTAGGTAAGGGTCCTTGCTTTGTTTTTCTGTAGCTCCTCTACCAATTTGGAAAGCTGTACTGCGTGAACTAAGCGCTGAGCTTCTCATGTGGGAATCAGATTGTTTTCTAGCTAGTAAAATACAGCCACAAAATGTTTTAAAGCCAACTGTTCATTTAGCTGTGCAGTTTTCTTTACGTCCTCACTGACATAAACAAAATGACTAAGCGCATTGTGTTCAGGACTGCCTAGCTTGAGCCGGTAGGCTAGAATTTAGTAAATAATTCAGTATTTCCTGAGATGGGAAGTACATCTCATCAATTCTAGCTCTGTGAGATTAAAAAAGGTAAAATGCACTGAAACATTGCCGTTCAAGAAAATAGGCTTCTGAAACATAGTAAATAAATCTGTCGAGTAGGATGTTGACATACATCTAGTCTAGTTTCTAGAGTTGTTATTTTCACATTAATGTGTAAACCACAGCTACTACCAAGCAGCGTAAGAAAATAATGTAACTGTATGAGAAAATAGCAAGATTGCTAGAGAACACAATGAGCTGTTAAATTGTCATGGGAGGTGAGGAACAAACTTTCCAGATGCATAAACTCTTGTGTCCTATCAAGTCTTGCAGTTATATCTAAGTGTGAAACTTTTCCCCAGGTCCCTGTATAATAGATGTTGGTGCTGTTTAACAGCTGGAAAAACAAGTGTGAGATAAGCGATTTACTCAGACCTTTGAAACAGGTCAGTAGGGTACAAGGGTTACAGTTCAGTAGTCTTTACTCCGAGCCCCCAGTATATTTACGTCTGTGTTACTTAAGGTTGGAAAAATGCTCTTTGCAAGTTCATGTTCCCAGTGTGACTTATTCCTTTCATATCTAATTTCTCTGTCTTCAGCGACAGGACACAGTGACCCCTTCATGACTACTGTTCTGCAGTAATGTCCTGCTTGAAGTTGTAGAGAACTTACCTCTGAAAATTAGTCTGCCTTCACCTTTTTGTAATTTCATGGCTTGCTCAGTTTTTTGCTCTCCTTGAGTATGTTGCTAATATATGAATTTGCAGTGTGTTACATGTCTCTTCGTGGGTTTTGAGATTTCCTGGGGGAGGCTGAGCGAAGCTAAAGGATACACATGAAGTTTTTTTTTAAAAAAATCAGTCTCATGCAGTATCCTCCTAAAGTTTTAGATCTTAGAGTTCCTTGGCAGGACATAATTATTGACTTAGTCTGTTCCGGTACAAGCATACCTATTTCTTCTTTTTCTCGCTCGTTGTTACATTGTTCCCTTCTTGAATGCGCAGTCAAGATATAGCATTATCTGTGAGTTAAAATGGGAAATGTTCTTCCAGAGCTTAATGCTTTCAAAACTATTCTATTCACGCTCGACATTCTAGAGCACATAATTGGCGACGTAACTGAACAGGGGTAGATAAAAGGTATATTTAAAGAGAAATCAGCGGGTTTTCCTGGAACATACTTGAACAATTTACAGTGTACAACTTGACCACAGGGTTCCTCACTGAGATCAGGTACTCAGTGGTAATACACTTACAGTTTTAAGCCCTGCTCCACTACTGAAATACTAGAACATTAACAATATTTGTGGATTGAGATTTTTTTTTTTTCCAAATGGAGAAATTGTTGACCAGTTACAGTACATTTTTAGAGTGGAAGTGTGAAAGGCGTATTCGGTTTCCTGCTGCCACACCAGAGAGTGGTTCAGCTGATGAAGAAGTAAGCAATAGAGGAGCTGACATTCATGGTAGTCTAGGTGGAATGAGCATCAAGGAGAAGCAATCGGCATGTCTGTTCTCTCTGGAGAGCATAAGGATTGCCACAGACATTTCACTGGCAATCCTCGCCAACTGATGTGATACACGCAGCATTTGCTGGGTGAGGCTCACAAAGAAGAGTGGTCAGATGTTGGAGTGGGCTGTCCAGGGAGGTGGTTGAGTCACTGTCCATGGAGGTGTTAAAGAAACGTTTGTAAGTTGTATTGAGGGACTTGGTTTAGTGGGGAAATATTGGTGGTAAGTGGATGGTTAGACTGGATGATCTTGGAGGTCTTTTGCAACCTTGGTGATTCTGTGATAAATTCCCTTTTCTGGTTTTTTTTGGGTTTGTTTGTGAAGAGGGACTAGTCTAATGTAGAGAGTTGTACTTTGGAACTAGGTGATTTTGTTTGTAATCCGATCGTTCACTTGCAACAAGAAAACAAAAGCTTTACTTTTCAGAACTTTTTTTTTTTCTGTTTCCCTTCATGGTGAATTTCATGTATTCTTCCTTAAAACACTAGGACAAGGTGGTTTATCTGCAATATGTTAATTACTTTCAGTGTCTTCATTTTCTCTTATGCTTAGATCTTTCCCTAGTAGAATAGTGAACAAACAGCTTGTTCAATTATTGCCTTTTAAAATAATTTAGATAATCACTGATTGGCTTTAACAAGTGATTAGCT